GAAGACCTTTAACTTTGAGGCTAGGCTGATAGGATTTAGTCTTAGACTGCTAGTGGTCAATGTTGTGTTCACACTACTCTTCCGTTTTCGAATTGTTCGGCCTTAGTTTACTGGTTATTATTTTTGCTTTCCATCTATTTACTGGTTCTTGTGATGTTGTTATTATTTCTATGGTTTTTTGTTGATGGTACTGATATATTGTCTCTTTTCGTCTTCTTGACCCGAGGGTCTATTGGAAACAGCCTCTCTACCCCCTCGGGGTAGAGGTAAGGTCTGCATGCACACTACCCTTCCCAGACCCCACTTGTGGGATTTTACTGGGTCGTTGTTCTACTTATCTAAAATTAATAGATATAAAAGATGGAAGAAAGAAGAAATCCAACGGCTAGCTTTTGATTTTTTTTTCCTTCTCAGAGAAGAGGGTGATGTTTTCCGCCTCCCATGATGGACTTCAATGTTACATTAAATCTGAATTTCTGCATCTCTGGTGAAGATGTCATTCTTTTTATCAGTAGATCATTTGAAGAATTTATCCATACACTGAGCTTTGGCTTGTGCGTCTTTGATTTTTCCATTCAGAAGCTCAAGCTATCATTTACTCCCTATTGGTGGTATGGGATGCTCCTTCCCTTGTGCTCATGCACATGTTCTGGTATTTAGACGTAATAATACTACGAGTACAAGATGGTGGTCTCACGGACTCGTAATAACATAACCTATAAAGTTTACAAGATTTTTGATGCTATTCTCTGCCTTCTCCATACTGAGGAAAGAGCAGTTGGTTGAATAGGTACGTTGCGTATCCAATATAACTAGAAAATCTTCTAAAAGCGGGGTTCTGTTGGGTGGGGAACCTGATCGATTAAAAAGTGTACTGATAAAATTGAAAGGATCCTTCTTCTCCTCTCAGATTTTAAATTGCCGGAAGAGAGTTGCTGCAATGGAATATTGAAGATAACGGTCCCAGAGTATATTAGCTCTGAAAATTGAAATCAAGTCATTCTCATCCGATAATTTTGATGTTCTTGTAAGAGTAAGGGGCTGCTGAAGCTTGTGAATGACACTATCGTAGTTGCATGACTAGTTTGAGTTGAATGGCTAAGTTGTCTACATTTCGTTTCCGAGTTGGATGGCAGAATAGATGGTCCAGTCCTAGTTTTGGATCTGGCCCATATTTATTTATTAGATTAACTTTCCTGCGTTGGGTTAGACATCTTTTCTCCCCTCCCTCTGTTTCCTTCCATCCTACACCAAAGCCGAGGCCTGGGGTTGGGGGGGTTGGGGGGGGGTGGGTGTGTTGTTACTTGCTGTATAATCTGAATTTGTTGTTTTCTTGAGTTCACTGAAGAAGTGATTTTTGAAGACAGATTTGGAGCCATTACGAAAACTAGCATCCCATAATAAAGTAATAGGTGATACCAATTAGTTGGGGCTTGAGAATATGCTTTAGTCATGTTAGTATGTGTACTTTAAGGTTCATGCTTTCTAGGAGTCATTTAGTTCTATAAATGATTTATGTGCTCTCCGGTATTTTTATATTTATTTTTACTTTGTATCATGTTGGCATGGGATAAGCTTAAAAGGAGCCCCATTGTTAGTGAGGATTCATATTGTCGAACCCAAGTATTTGGTCGAGCATTTATTTAGTGATCCTGAATGTAAATTTTTTGTGCGTGACAGGAAAGAATGAACAGATCTCTAATGGTCTGCCAAGACAAGTATGAGACAGCCAAACTTCAGAAGAACAGAAGTGATGCAACAAAGGATTTGGAATCATGTGTCGACCAGTCGGTTCATGATAGCATCAACACATTGCCACATCTGGTTGCAAGATTAAAAGGTTCTCTTGGCATCACCAATTGAAATATTGTAGCATCAGCATGCAGTTGAAGATATTTGGGGGGGAGTTCTGAATTATTAGTTTTCATAATGGTATGCTGAGATGAAAAATAGTGAAATATTATTTCACTTTGCAAACTATAACATGGAGTGTTTCTCCATTTGGTTCTGTGGCTTAAAAAATGACTTGCCAAAATGTAATACTTATTTCTGAGACAAATCCTTTGGGTCGTTTAGTAGATGGAATAGCCTCCTAATCCGAGCGTTAAAATTTAACGTGCATTTTCTACGCTTGTTATTTCCAGATTAAACTATAGATCATGTTTTTCTTCAAAAAGTGACCTGTTCATAGAGGTAATCTTATTTAATCTTTGTTATTCTTGTTGGTCAATTGCGTCAAGTGTTTTCATTTATTTGTATTACGCTCTAAGCCCAGTCAAATTAGCTCGCATAAAATGAGAAAAGTAAAGATAATTTTCGATCTTATTATGAATGCAGTTATTTATTAATTCGGTTAAGGGTCAAATATGTCCCTCTACTATTAACAATTGTTTAAAAATATCCTTCGTTATACTATCGGGATATAAAATCCCTCACCGTTACACTATTAAACAAAAATGCCCCTAATTAGACAGCATAGACACGTGACATCATTTAAAAGCTGAAGAGAACCCGTTTCTCTTAAAAACCAAACCCGCTCCGACCCACTAAATTGACCCACCCTTCTAAACCTAAAAACACGGGTTAAGGGTCAAACCTACAAAACACATTTCTTTTTCTTCTCTTTCACTCTCTCTAGAAGCCTCCGTTGACATAAGAAAAATCGTGAGATATCCGCCGCAAATGAAGTAAAGGTAATATATTTCTCCATGGAAATGGTTCGCTTTTCTTGTTTTAACTCTTTTTTGCTCAGTATTTTATGTGTTTGCTGTTATTTTAGGGTTTTCGCCTAGTGTTTTGATTTGCTGACATCCATACATTTATTTTTGTACTTTCAGTATTATATTCACATTTTTTGTCTTCTTCAAGTGTTTGCATGCTTTATTATTGATATGGTCCCGATGTGAAGTTATTTTTGGTCCCGACATGGTTTTTGTTTTGGTAGCTGGTTTAGGGTGTTTGTTTGTCCCAATATTCTGAGCTTTTTCTGTTGTTTAATAGGTAAATTTGTCCCTAATTTGTTACTTTCTGATTATAGTATTATGTGTGTAGGACCACGTTCAATAATTTTTTTAGTTAATTTATTATGGAGTGGGCCTGAATCTGGACCACCTTCAAGATATGGACTTCTTCTATATTTATTAGGTGATAAAATATACTGTGAGTAGGACCACCTTCAATGGTGGTATGACATAGCTAAATGGAGTCTGCCTTTTTTAATATAATTATTCCCTTTTTAGTTCTGCCTTTTTATTTGTTTATTTATTCTTTGCTAACTTGACCTATTGGCTATATTTGTAGGTTATTGGAGATGGTGTTAATAGATATAATATTCAATTATGGTGGTGATTGGGTTACACAGCCTGAGGTCTTATACACAAAGAAACTGGTGCACACTTGGACAGGTTATGACTCAGACTTACTTTCATATATAGACATAGTGAATGAATATATAAATGAGCTAGGGTTTGTAGGGGTTCAGCAGCTTATTGTTGCTTGTCCTTCTGGCAAATTTTATGCGATTGATGGGGATGTTGGGATTAGAAAATTACTTAGCTTGATATGTGATGAATATAATGTTGTTAACATTTATGCTGTGGATGAATGTGAGCCCCCTATTCATGGTATCCCTGATATTGTACACCATAAAGAATCATACACCCACGAGGATGAGGCTGGTACTGACTGTAGCTTAAGTGACTTAGAATCTGATTCTAGAGCTGAATCAGAAGGTTATGATTCTGAAGAATTGGAAACTTCGAAAGTACAAAAAAAGAGGGAGATAACTGAAGAACTTAATGAGTACAAAGAGTTGTATAAGGGTATGAGCTTTAAGGACATACCAGAAGCTAGGAAGTGTATGAAGTTGTATGCTTTGGCAAACAAGAAAAAATTAGAGTTATTGAAGAGTGACAAAATAAGGCTTAGGTATAAATGTGATATATTTGGTTGTCCCTTTTTGTGTTTGATATCCAAAGAGAGGAATGGTGGGGTTAAGATCAAGACCTTAAATGCAGAACATAGTTGTGGTGTTGCTTTTGATAACAATACTGTTGATTTCAGTACTATTGCACAGTATTTCAAGCTTAAATTACAAGATAATCCTAAGTATAAGGTAAAGGAGATGATGGCAGATTTGAAGAGGGTTTTTGAACTAAATATTAGTCATGGAAAGTGTAAGAGAGCAAAGAGAATGGTCTTGGAAAGCTTAGATGGTAGTTTCAGTGATGAGTATAACAAACTTGAAGCTTATGCAACTGAATTGAGAGATAGTAATCCAGGCAGTGATGTGGTTATAAACCTTTCAAAGAATGCACTTGAAGAAGGGAGAAGAAGATTCTTAAGGATGTATATCTGCTTTCAAGCTTTAAAGATGGGTTTCAAGCTAGGGTTGAGACCTTTTATTGGTCTAGATGGAAATTTCTTAAAGGGGAAAGCTAAGGGCCAACTACTAGTGGCTGTTGGACAAGATTCACAGAACCATTTCTATCCTTTGGCTTGGGCAGTTGTTGACAAAGAGACAAAGAATACATGGAATTGGTTCTTGCAGTTGCTTCAACATTCTCTAGACCTCAAGGATGGGGAAGGAATTACCTTCATGTCAGACATGCAAAAGGTATTAATTTTGCTATTTCTGTCTTCTTCTATTTCTATCTTCTTCTATTTCTGTCTTCTTCTATTTCTGTCCTAATTTTCTGTCTTTATCAATTTCTGTCCTTTTCTATTTATTTTTGTCATATATTTTTGTCCTTTTCTATTAAATTCTGTCATATATTTATGTCCTATAGTGTTGTCCATGGTCTCCATTTAATTCTGCCTTTTTGTTGTTTATGAAATATTCTAAGTGAATGTATGTTTATATAAATGTCATAGGGATTAATTGATGCTGTTAGAACTGTCCTTCCTCAATCACACCATACATATTGTGTTAGACATATTGAGGCCAACTGGTGCAAGATATACAATACTGGTGAAAGCAAAAAATTACTTTGGTGGTGTGCATGGTCTACTTATGAGGAGGAATTCAAGGATCATTTGAAGAACTTAGGGGAGTTGAACAAGGATGCAGCAGCTGGTTTGTTGAAGTACCCTCCTCAGACTTGGTGCAGAGCTTACCTGGACACAGTGTGCAAGAATCAGTCAGTTGATAACAACTTGACTGAATCCTTCAACAAGTGGATTTTGGAAGCAAGGCATAAGCCAATAATAAAGATGTTGGAGGACATTAGAATCAAAGTGATGAACATGTTAAGAGAACATGAAGATGAAGTGAGGGGTTGGAGACATGACTTTAGTCCAAAAAGCATGGAGTTGTACAGTGAGTACATGCAAATTGCTCAATCAGCTTGTAGAGTTAATGCAAATGGAGAAAATGGCTATGAAGTGTCAGAAGGTGGTGATAAGCATTGTGTGAATATGGCTGTGAAGAAGTGCACTTGTAGGTAGTGGGATCTTACAGGAATCCCATGTCCATATGTTATTAAAGCTGTACTTCACAACATGGGTGATCCTTTGATAGAAATGAACTGGTGGTATAGCATGGAGGCATTTCTACTCACTTATAAACACAAGTTACAACCTGTAAGAGGAGAAAATTTTTGGAAGATTGAACCATCACAAGCAATGGAGCCACCTGAGTTGGTGAAGTTGGCCGGCAGGCCTAAAGTTAAGAGAGATAGGCAGAAGGATGAGGCCATTAAAAGGCAAGGATTGTGGTCACAATCAAGAAAAGGAAGAGTGATGACTTGTAGCAAATGTGGAGAGACAACCCACAATGCTAGGACTTGCGGACATGTAAAATTTAATTTGAATATTTATTTACTGAAATTTGAACTTATTTTATTTTTCTAACTTGGATTTTCTTGCAGCAATCAAAGGGAAAGGAAAAGGGAAAACAACAGACAAAGAGGCCAAGAACTTTGATAGATGAAGAAACTGAAACTGTTCAGCCCCTCCAACCAGTCAACCAAGTCAAGACAATGACTTTAGGTTCATGCCTACTCCTGGAGTTAGGAGTGTTGGCCAATCAAGCAAGGATCTGGAGGTTGATCAAGATGTTGTACTGAGGCCAAGGGTGATATCAGAAGTCAATACAAGACTTAAGATGAGACAACAGGTACCGATACCCACTGGCACAAGGTCAATCACCTTCACTGGTGATCACACTGGTGTGAGTGATCCAACAAACCTTCCATACACACCACCATCTTTAAGCTGGAAAGGAACACCTGCTACAACTGCAAATCAGTTAGAAAAACAAAGGCAACAGAGGATTGGGAAGCTTAGGCCAAGGAAAGGAAATTGAAGACCAAACTGAACTTTTTTTGTGTTTTGATGGGATGTATTAACTGCAAACTTTGCTGCAAACTTGTTAATATTGGTGTTGGATTCGGATGTCATATTATGACTTGGTTGTACAAGTTTTTGTTGTTATAATATGACATCCATTCATCCATTTGGTGATGTAACTACTATGATAACAGTACTTAAATGCTTATTAACAGTACTTATTGAATTGTCCCTTTTGAGTTTGCACAGTGCTGTAGTTTTGAATGTGATCTTTTGGTCTAAACAGTGCTGTAGAAAAACTGTAATTGTTGAGTTTGCACAGTGCTGTAGTTTTGAATGTGCTGTAGTTTTGAATGTGATCTTTTGGTCTAAACAGTGCTGTAGAAAAACTGTGTTGAAATTATCTTAACAATGCTGTAGTTTCGAAATGATACAGGTTTATGTGTTCATTGATTAGAATTCACAATAAGTTATTCCCGATAGTGCAGTAAAACTGTGTTGAAATGATACAATTTTAAAGTAACAATGCAACATGAAAAAGCATTACAAAACAGTAGGCCTTACACAAAGTAGAAATATTTTCATAACTTCGTCACATCAACATTAAACTTCACAAAAAATACATTAAAGTAGGCACTGTATCAATAGGCATAAAGTTGGCACTATACATATTACTAGGCAGCATAAATAATACCAACTACACATTTCAGTATTTAACTACACATCAACAATATTTAACTTCATCATACACGATAATTTGTTCACAATAACTTGTCCAAAATTGATCTAAACAAATGCATTACATCATCATCATTGCAGCAACAAAGCCAACAAACAGTGCAAACAATATCAAAACAAACATCTTCATCTTTAACAGTTTCTCTTCCATCTCCCTTGCTTTATTCACTTCAATATTTTTTAGAGCCTCTAATATATCAACCTTTTCCAGCAATTTGTCCCTTTCAACTTTGCACGTTTCCAACAACTGATTCAACATATTGGTTGTCATATTAGCAGCATCTAATTTGCACTGCAACTTGTTGATTTCTATCAACGCTCTGTCCGGGTAGGCTTCGTCTTGCCATTCCCAATATCCGCACGACTCATTCTAACAAAAACAACCAATTACGAAATTTGTATCATACCTTCAAATTATGAATCGAAAGCAAAATTAAAACTTACTTCAGGTTTAGTACACTTATAGAATCTCCTTCCAGGATTTTGAGCTGTGGTTGATTTGAAGTTCTTGGCAATCTCCCCACAATGGCACCTCCTCTTTGATGTAGCAGTTGAATCAGACATGGAACCTACGTTTGAGACTGAATCTTGCGTTTTGCAATTACCAATTTTGAGTAATACAGAGGAGAAGAACCTTTGAGACTGATTCTTCAGTTTGGGATTTACTAATTTTTGAGTAACAGAGAGAGGAAGCTTTTTCTCTATTGAGGGTGGGACGAAATTAGGGTTGTAACCCGTGTTTTTAGGTTTAGAAGGGTGGGTCAATTTAGTGGGTCGGAGCGGGTTTGGTTTTTAAGAGAAACGGGTTCTCTTCAGCTTTTAAATGCTGCCACGTGTCTATGCCGTCTAATTAGGGGCATTTTTGTTTAATAGTGTAACGGTGAGGGGTTTTATGTCCCGATAGTATAACGAAGAATATTTTTAAACAATTGTTAAAAGTAGAGGGACATATTTGATCCTTTTCCGTTATTAATTTAATCCCCAAAAATACGAGCAATGACTTAACATGACTTGCTTTTGAAAGATGAATTTGTTTATACCTACTCGTCACATCTGAGCGTATTATGATGACACCATTAATCCATTTTTTTAGGATGACAAAATCTTGAGAACTAGTGATTGTTTAAAACTCGTTGGATAATGGACTTCACTCTCTATCATTGACTTGTCTCTCTCATTTTCCACTGAAATACCAAGCTTTTGGATGCAACAGAGTTCGAACTCATGACATGCACACGTACACATGTTGCACTCTTAGTAAGATACCAAAGCACTGAGGCATTCATTAGTCCATTTGTTCTTAGCTGCTCTGAAAGAAAAACAACATATCACAGAGCTGTACGCCAGAGCTAGGTTCAGTTACAAGAAACACAATACTGTTGTAGGGTAAATCAGCCTGCCTAGTTATCTTGAATTTAACATATTGCTATGTCAAATGTAATTAACCAGGGCCTTTGTTACACAAAAATAGGTTTCAAATCCCGCTCAATTCCCATTTCAAAGAAATGATAATTGGTATCCTTGTGATAAGGAAATAAAACAAACATGTTGAATGTAGCCTGAAGACGACGTGAAATTTGAGAAAGAAAATTTATCTCAACGAGAAAGCTTAACAGTATCTTGATATCTTTACATCAAAGTATATATTCGGAAAACAGGAGAAGTTATTCAACAAGCATAAGATGATTGAAGTCCTGTTTTACTGTTTCACAATCATCCAGCACTTCTTCCTAATTGCCAAGTCACCTTCATATATTGGACACAATCAAGGCTTGGGTGCCAAACTTGCTTCAGACTCACTGTTGTGTTTTGCCTCTTCAAACTTATCAATGGCTACCTGAAGTTCATCTGAACCTCCAACAGCTCTCATAGTATAGTAATACACACCAAAAACAAATGCTGACAAACCTCCGGCCATAACCAGATTCTTAGTCTTGGGGGCAAGGGCACCGTATCCTGGAAATCCAGCCATCTTCTCACAAGGAATTAACCTACACACTTGTTTTTTTGCTTTTTCACCTGCAATAAGATGCAGAAAAGCGCTGACTTGGGAATGTTTGAAAATTCAAGACATCTGGTGAGATAAAAATAGAAATCACCTCCATGACAAATGTGAGTAAGGCTTTCTTCATTCTCCTTTCTTGGTTTATGAAACGCGTTATAAGTAAATTGCAAAATTAAAGAATCAAGCTGACCTCAGAAGTCATAGACTATTGTATTCAAGTAAGCAAGTCATTTTTGTTTAAAAATATAAAAATGAAAATTTCATGACATACCCTTCCCTCTGCTTCAACACCTATGTAGCTATCACAAATGAAAACAATTTGGCACTCTCAAAATTTTAATAACTAAGCCAAGGTCAAAAAAAGCTAAAAACTTGAACTCAAGCCGGAGGTAAGTCCAATGGGACACAGTAATTTACTCTATAACATTTGTCCACTGGATGTTTTCCTGACTAATAATGTTTATATCAACATATGCAAAGATGTTCCAATAATACGTGACAACTGCCATCAGATAAGTTAAAATCAAGGGAGAGAACAGATTGTGTAGTCTCTCTTTCATCCATCAGCAGGTATTGACCTTCAATTCCTCCTCATCAGATACCCAAAGGATATCATGAGCCCCCAAAAAAGACACAAATAAATAGCTCGGGGAAGAACTTGCCATAATTAATATTTTATCTACAAAATACACAAGCACTTCCAATCTCTAGTTAGGTATTGCAACCCAACCTTAGTCTAAGCTTATAGGCAAGTGCAGTACAGCACCGATCCAAAACAACATCGATCTAATCAGATTATCTCACCAACACTAAGATAATTCAATGTTAATTAAACAGAAACCAATCATAGATTAGGATATGCAGTGTGTATATGTTTATATACCCATTTCTTCTACAAGGGTAACTCAAATTCGAAGTTTCAAGCTTTTCTGTATGGTTTCGATTAAGATTTTACATAGCACAATCAGCTTGTAACTAAAAAGGAAAAATATACAAGAAACAGATAACTGAATAGTATCTCGTTATTAAGGGAACAGAAGATTTCAGTGAAAGAAACAAAATTAAATTAAAGAAAAAAAGAAAATAAATGAGAAATTGGAGATGAACCTGGAAATCTTGGTGAAGAATTAACCTCAAGATTGTCTAAAACCCTAAAAATGTTCAACTATTTTGGCAGTGGACATAAACCCCTTCCCTTGTGGGCCGGGTCAACTGGGCCGGACGCATAGTGCCTATAAAATAATTAGAGAAACTTTCAGAAACCACTATGTTTAGTGGTTATTAGCTAGTTGTAGCTACCATTTACTATAGTACTTCCTATAGCTATGTTTTCAGATTTTTTAGAGTGTATTCGATGTATTTAAGCTACTGTATTCATGAATACAGTAGCATTTCCAGGAGTGAAACAGGGGAT